TGAAAATGTTTGGTTAAGTACCTAGAATTCAATAATTTGCTGTTTGTAGGTTTTAGATGTGTAGAAAGTGTTGTTTGAACAAATGTTTGGTTTCTGCAGGTTAATCTCAGAAGTGAACTGCGTGAAAATGATGTCGAGCTGCAAAAGTTGATTCAATAGTTTAATTGATTGTTTTTTGATTGTTTAATTGATTTGTAAAAGTTGATTCAATAGTAGATGATCGGAAATAAGAATTATTGCTTATTTTTTGATTGTTTAATTGATTTGTAAAAGATGATTTGTAAAAGTTGATTTGTGTAATTGATGCGAATATAATTCTTATTTGTGCTTGTTTAATTGATTGAAATGTAATGGTTGATTTTGTTGATTTCAATCTGCATTATGTTGAAGGCAAAATTGACTATCGCAATGCGAAATGAAAATCGCAATGCGAAATGAAAATCGCAACGAGAGAATCGCAATGCGAAATGAAAATCGCAATGCGGAAATGAAAATCGCAACGAGAGAATCGCAATGCGATTTTCATTTCGCATTGCGATTCTCTCGTTGCGATTGTAATTTCCGTGTTGCGATAGTCAAATGCATGCCTAATAGTGATAACAACTGAATAACAAGAGTTGGTTAAGTCAAAATGGTTGGCCTGAGTCATTAATTCAACTGAAAATGTTAAAAGTTCACACATAAAATCCACATAATACAACGTTTGCATTTAAAAATCACCTAAGTTAACAGTCCCAAAAGGTGAAGCCAATTGTGATTGGGATTTTAAAGATGGTTGCCTTTTGCTTGACACCATATGAGCTTTGGATTTTGATGAGGATCCATATTTGGTAGAGGAAAAGATGATTTTGATGGCACTGGTGATCCACATGTCAACCTTGTATGACCACTTTCCTTGCACCGACTACATGTCGATCTCTTCTTCTCTTCACCCTTAGACGGTATACGATCGTGACTTTTTGGTCGGCCAGGTAGCCTTCTGTCCATGGCTGGTGGCAAAACTGTTTGTAAGTCATCTGGTATGTCCCACTCAGAAGGATGTGGAATAGGGTAGACAATCTCGGCATAAGTCTGTCGATAAACTTCTGTAGTGTAGCAATCCATAGCGTATGCGCTTGAATCATCTTGGTTTAAATGAAGAGCAACTTTTATAACATGGCCACACGGATAACCAGATGTTTGCCATTTCATACAACTACACGTCTTTGCATTTAGATCGACTAGCCCATTTAAGTTATTATCCAGTACTTGAAACAAAGTGTTTGAACATGGTTCAACTCTCCATGACGTTGACTTCACAACACGTTTCGTTATCTTTTTTCAGTCCATGGTGTAACACGATGTTCCAATGTTCCTGTAAATTTAAATAAACAATACTTAGTAAATATATAAATATGATAAGTTACGAATTCAAAGAAATAATACCTGCATGGTTTCTTTTCTTGTAGTACCACTGTTGAATATAGGCTCGAAAAAACTCCATTAACATAGTAATGGGTAATTTCCGGGAATGACGACTTAGAGCGTTGATTGATTCTGCACTATTAGACGTCATGAAACCATATCTTGCTCCAAGTTGATGTACTCTTGACCATCTTTCAAACCCGACATCTTCTAGTGTTTGAGCACACTGAGGCAAAACACGTCTTAAACAATTTATATGCTTATTGAAATCCACTTCCCGATAAGCTTTTACAGCCTTCCAGTATGTCCATTTGTGCTTTTTATACCAGCAGACCTTGATTTTAGATTTCTATACAAATGAACACCACAAAGTCCATGAAAAGCATCTGGGAAACACCTTTTAACAGCGTTGTCAATTGAGTTTGCCCTATCGGATATGATTGTCAGATTGCTAATAGGACCTATGCAATCCCTAAGATGCCCCATAAACCATGTCCATGAATCAGAGGTTTCAGATTTGCCAACCCCGTAAGCTATTGGCAATATCCCATTGTTAGCATCCATGGCTACTGCTAATAAGTTTACTCCAAGGTATCGACCTTTCAAATGTGCTCCGTCAACTATAATAACTGGGCGCATGCAAGTAATAAACGAACGAATCTACAAAATAATATACACAAGAAATATAATCATTTAAATGTGAAATGCATGTAACTAACAAAAATGAGTCAACAAAATTATATTGATTTACTAACCGTAGCACCAATGGCGATAAACAGCAACTCAAAGCGTCCATCTCTATCTGTTTTGATATGAGTTACCGACCCAGGATTTTTCAGCTTTAAATTGTGACAATAAGCCGGCAGTTGGGCAAACGATGCTTCTGGCGACCCCCTCAACAATTCCAAGGCATAACATTTGGCTCTCCAAGCTTGAGAATATGATATACTAATCTTGAACCGAGCATTCATGTCAGTCATAATTTCATGTCCCCGATATACCCTGCCATTCAAAAACATTAACTCAGCCAGAAAACCACCCAACACCTTTTTGTTTGCCTGTCTATGGTGAGGAAAAACTTGGGTTCTTGAACATGTATGTTTATCAATAAAAGTCCTAACTTGAAACATTTTGCAATCTTTTATTCTCTTTGCAATCATACGCCACGTACAGTTTTTGTCAATCATACACCTTGTTTCGAAACGATCTTTGCTTGATTTGTTAACTTTTAGTTGATAGCCATCTTCCACACATTCGTATACAAAGCTATCTTCAAGTCTTCCTTTGTATCAAAACAATCATCTTTCTTGACACGAATAACTTTTGTGTAACAATCAACTGCTTTCTTTGCCAACTCTTCTTCCGGTAACTGAAGTAATTCTGGCATATTCCAGTTATACTCCCGTGGCATTTTCTTTTCTTCGGGGACTTTTTCTTCTTCTTTTTCTTCTTCAGGATTATATGAATTACAGAATGGATGTTCAACATGTTCATTCACAGTCGTAACTTCCTCCTCATTATCATCAACAACATCTTCCTCGGCAACGGGTGTTTCATCATCAAAATTCGGGTATTGACCAATATGAAAATCATTACACACATGGTCTGTTTCTTCTTCTGAAACATCATCAAAATCCGTGTATTGACCAATATCAAAGTCCGGATATTGACCAAGACCAAATTTCGAATACTGACTAGTACTCACAATTTTTTCTGTTGGCTCATCATCGTCTAACTGGTCAATACGAAAACCGGAATTTGGTGCTGAAAGTTGATTGGGATTTGGATTAGAGAAAGGTTGTGGGTTTTGAGAAAAACTTAGTTGATTACTACCCGCTACTGACCCAACAATACTACTTCTAGGTTCAACAACATACAATGTAACATCATCTTGTGAAACACTAATGTAAGCAATGAATCGTTCAACATCTTCATTGTCGGTTAACAAATAAACTTTACCATTTCTCTGATAAGATAGCCTAAATCCACTTAGGGGCTCTAAATTCAATTTATTTGAAACACGTAGCATTAGAGTTTCATAAGTTAACTTTTGTAAAGACAATTTTAGTTGAAGATTCATGGGTAAAGGCATATATTGTAAAACACCATGAACATTATCCCATGACCCTCCAAAACACAAATCTATCCAAACATGATCAACATTAGATGATTTCATGGTTGTAAATTAATTTACTAAACAGACGAGCTGCGAAACTAAAACCTGTTGCCGGATTGGGAAGGATGTCGTTGGATATAGGAACGGATGTCGCCGAAGAGAGTGATAGATGGAGATGGAATGAGTTGCGATTTAGGGATTTAGTTTATGATTTCAGTGTTATATACCCAAAATTTCAGTGTTGTGATTTACAGATTCTCGTTGCGATTTACGGATTATCGTTGCGATTTACAGATTCTCGTTGCGATTTACGGATTATCGTTGCGATTTACAGATTCTCGTTGCGATTTACGGATTATCGTTGCGATTTACAGATTCTCGTTGCGATTTACGGATACGCGTTGCGATATACGGATACGCATTGCGATTTACCCATACGCGTTGCGATTTACGGATACGCGTTGCGATTTACGGATACGCGTTGCGATTTATGTGTTCGCGTTGCGATTTTCATATTCGCGTTGCGATTTTGGAAAATCGCAATGCGAATTTGTACTATCGCATTGCGATTTTCAAGAATCGCGTTGCGATTTTGGAAACTGATTTGCGATTCTGGGGATCGCGTTGCGATTTTTATTTCGCGTTGCGATTTTGTTGGTCATTTTGGCAAATCCAAAAAAAGTTGGTTAAAATCGTATATTATAACTTTTTTTTGGTCACTGAGGCGATTTTCTCTAAAAAAAACTATGAGACTAAGCATAATTTGGGAAAATTACGTTGCATATAACAATACATGTTTTCATGAAGTTAGATAAAAGGATGATCTTCTCCTAGCTGCTTAACATGTTAGTGCAATTCGGAAATTAAACCAAGAATATAAAGAGGGGACCATGAAAGTTTGCCTTTAAAACCTTTGAAATCCTAAGTGAATTATTCATTAAAAAAAATCTTACATATACAAGTTGGATTACTCAAAGTAAACCCCATCCAACAACCATACAAGGATAATTACTTTGGTCCAATAAAAATGAAAAAAAAAATCAGATTGGGACTTATACATGAATGTTTTTAGGACTATTTTTGCAACGTCTTTTTCAACAACAAAGTTAAAAAGGATTACCTAAGGGGTGACATATTAAGAATGGATGGCATATAGTGGCGTGATCACCAAGTTGACAATTAAACAAGACACTTGTAATATCCACTTATAACAAGAAAACCCTCGGCTCATCAACAAAAGAAAGAACAGAACAAAATATGGCTGAGGAGCAGCAGTGTGTTGAAATTCCTAGAGTGAAACTGGGAACTCAAGGACTTGAGGTTAGATTTTGTTCTTCTTACAGTAGTTATGTGAAAAGCTGTTTCTGGGTTGCATATAGGCCCTGAACTCTTATCGTTTTTACTACTGTTCATTTTTGGTACAACTGATGATTTGCAGACTGTAGAATTTCTGATTAAGATACATGATTTTCTTTGGTAGGTTTCAAAGTTGGGGTTTGGTTGTATGGGGCTTAGTGGAGGTTACAATGACCCTGTCCCTGAAGAAATTGGGATATCGATTATCAAGCACGCATTCGATAGAGGAATCACTTTCTTTGATACATCAGATATCTATGGACCCAAAACTAATGAAATTTTGATTGGAAAGGTAAACATGCTTGGACAAACTCTTTATATTTTCAAGCTCAGTTGCAACTGCTTCCTGGTTTTGCTAGTCACTCTGATGTGATTTTATGCTTTTATTATTGTTCTTTTCTTGTTAAAGGAACTTATGCATCTTTGAAACAAATACCCTTTTTCCAGGCACTGAAGCAATTACCAAGAGAGAAGGTACAATTAGCCACAAAGTTTGGTTTTGAAAAATTGGACGCAACCGGCATCATAATAAACGGTACTCCCGAATATGTCCGTACCGCAATCGAAGCTAGCCTGAAGCGCCTGGATGTTGATTATATTGATCTCTACTACCAGCACAGAGTTGACACCAATACTCCTATAGAAGATACTGTAAGTGCTGCAATCATCTTAAATACATAATACCAAGTCGTATATTTTCCTTGTTTAATACTCTTATCGTGAAGAAATGAACTTTAACTGGTTGAAATTCCTGCCTTTAGATGTCTGAACTCAAGAAGTTGGTGGAAGAGGGGAAAATAAAGTACATAGGCTTATCTGAAGCAAGCCCTGAAACCATAAAGAGAGCACACGCAGTTCATCCAATAACTGCTTTGCAGATGGAGTGGTCGCTCTGGACTCGTGATATCGAGGAACAAATAGTGCTCCTTTGCAGGTTTGTTCGTGTATCTTGAATCATTAGAATTGAAAAATACTAGTTAACTTCAAATCCAAACTCTAACCCTACTAGTCTTTTTTTTTTTTCATTTCCTAGGTTTTAGAATCAATAAACTCATTCTATCAATCATTACTACTTTCATTCCTGCAAGCCAAATCATGGTAAATGCCTATCTAAATGTTGCCATCTATGCAGGGAACTTGGAATTGGGATTGTTCCATATAGCCCTCTCGGTCGCGGTTTCTTTGGCGGGAAAGTAGTGGCGGAAACGGTGCCTGCAAATAGTTTTCTGGTATGGAAACTAATTCATTTATGTCTTTAACCTATCCTTAATCTTTGTCTGGTAAACTGATTGCCAACTTCTACTGTAAAGCAACGTTTTCCAAGGTTTCAAGGAGAGAACCTGGACAAAAACAGGACCTTATATTTGAAAATCGAGAAGTTGGCTGAGAAGCATGGATGTACCCCTGCACAATTAGCACTTGCTTGGGTTCTTCATCAAGGGGACGATGTAGCACCGATTCCTGGTGAGTCATTTTCTGTAACTTCTTGATAGCCTGCTGATAATTTCACCTAAATCCACAGCAGAAGTAGCACAATTGACCTGAATCTTTGTACCATGCATTAAAATTCTCCTTGTTTAGATAATAGCAGTAGGACCAAAGTTTTGACCCTTTCTTTCACTTTTGTTTAATAGGTACAACCAAGATCAAGAATCTTAATAGTAACATTGATTCACTGAAAGTAAAGCTTACCAAAGAAGATTTGAAAGAAATCTCCGACGCAGTTCCGATAAATGAGGTGGCAGGTGATCTTCTTCCAGAGGGTTTTAGTCAATTGCACTGGAAGTTTGGTGGGAATACACCACCAAAGGGGAGCAAGGTTTCAACTTGAAATATCATTTGATGGGAAGTCTGCAGCAAGGTATGAGGTTTTGGGTGAATGGAAGTTGAGTATTTGGTGAGAGCAGAATCATTCATTACCAAAATAAATAAATAAAAAATAAGCAGGCTTGTATGACATTGTTGTATGTCATTTGTAGCTACTAATCTTCCAAGTTATAGTTTAAAAATTAATTAGATTGTGTTTATCAGCTAAAGACTGGTAGCAGTTTTATACTAGCTGCTCTATATGGAGATATAAAAATCTTAGATTTTCCATAACTTTTTACAGAAGTTAATATGTTTTATTTGCTCCATGTCTATTACAATGCTTCATCTCTTTATTGGTTTAGTTATGATTTATAAATATTTTTATTCTTCGTCTTGGAATTTTCTTTTGATTTATACAAAATTAATTTTATTGATAATATGACAATTATTTTTAAAATAAACTATCTTCCTAGAAGGATGAAATTATGATAGGTACATATTACCTAATTTTAATCTCGTATTTTAAATATGTCTCATGTTCAGTTTTAATTTAATAATTAATGTTGAAACTAATAATTAGGCTGCTAAAAGGATTCAATTCGAATATGTTGAATCTCATTAATAAAAAATATATTTTGTAAAAATCAAAACAGGTAACGCACTAGTGGTCTAGAGGTGCAAGATCATTTATTTATGTTTTTCATCGTTTTGATGATGGTACGTTTGGTGTTGGGAATTGTTTGATTACTTGAAGTACGGCCAGCATATATGGGAGTTAAATCAAACTATGGACAGTTTTCGTTGGTTTTCACTATCTTCATAATACGTGTATCATCCATTTTCTATTCTTCATTGCCTGCTCATACTGCAACTCAAATCCATAGCAGAAGTAATATGGATTCACTGATAGTAATGTGATGCTCGCTGAAGAAGAAGATTTGAAAGAAATTCCACTGTAAGTTTGGTAATACATCACCAAAGGAGAGCAAGCTTCACCTTGAAATCAACACAGATGCAAAGTCTGCAGCAAAATACGAGGTTTGGGGAGAATTGACTCCCAATAGCTGAAACCATTGAAAAACTAGGGAGATCGTATTAATGATTTAGTAGGCTAGAGTTTGTATTAATGATTTAGTAGGCTTTGGTTACATTAGTGAAGGATTCAGTGAGAGCAGAAGCCTGCATCACCAAAATTAATTTTACATAGATCAACATGAAAATTCGAAGTAGAATAAAAATACTTCTAAATCACTGCTAAACTAATAGAAGAGATGAAGCATTGTAATAGACATTGAGCAAAGAAAACATAGTGTAAAAATTTCTGGAAATTTTGAGATTTTTATTTCTCCAAGTCACATACAACAAAAATCATACAAACCTGCTTATTTTGTTTTTTTAATATTTATGTAATGCATGCTTCTGCTCTCATTGAACACTTCATTAATGTATTCAATCACCCAAACCTCATCATTTTACCGCAGCCTTTGCATCCATTGTTCTTTCAAGTTGAAACCTTGCTCCCCTTTGGTGGTGTATGACCAAACTTCCAGATGAATCGACTTAAACCCTCTGGCAAACGATCACCTGCAACCTCATTTATCGGAACCGCATCGGAGATTTCTTTCAAATCTTCTTCTGAGAGCTTTAATTTCAATGAACCAATGTTACTATCAAGATTCTGGATCTTGGTTGTTCCTATAAAACAAAGTGAAAGCAAGGGTCAAAACTTTTCAAATTTTAGTATAGACACAGATACTTGGTGCAAGATTTTCATGCCAATTATGCTAATTCTGCTGTGGATTTTAGTTGAAATATCAGCAGGCTATTTAGTAGAGAAAATGGATGTTGAAAGTTACGGAATGCGACTCACCGGGAATCGGTGTTACATCGTCCCCTTTATGAAGAACCCAAGCAAGTGCTGCCAATTGTGCAGGGGTACATCCATGCTTCTCAGCCAACTTCTCGATTTTCAAATATAAGTTCTTGTTTTTGTCCAAGTTCTCTACTTGAAACCTTGGTAAACGTTGCTTAAAAGTAGAAGTTGACAATCAGTTTACTATACAAAAACTAAGAATAGATTAAAGACATAAGTTAGTTCCCATACCAGAAAACCATTTGCAGGCAAGGTTTCCACCACTCCTTTGCCACCAAAGAAACCGTGACCTAGAGGGCCATATGGAACAATCCCAATTCCAAGTTCCCTGCATAGATGAACGCATTTGGATAGTCATTCGCCATGATTTGGCTTGCAGCAATGAAAGGAGTAATGGTTGATAGCATGAGTTTATTGAGTCTCAAACCTAAGAAATGAAGAAAGACTAGTAGGGTTAGAGTTTGGATTTGAAGTTAACTAGTATTTTTTCAATTCTGATGATTCAAGATACACGAACAAACCTGCAAAGGGGGACTATTTGTTCCTCGATATCACGAGACCAAAGCGACCACTCCATCTGCAAAGTAGTTATCGGATGAACTACGTGTGCTCTCTTTATGGTTTCAGGGCTAGCTTCAAATAAGCCTATGTACTTTATTTTCCCCTCTTCCACCAACTTCTTGAGTTCAGACATCTAAATACAGAAATTTCAACCTGTTAAAGATCAATAAATGACTTGGTATTATGTATCTAAGATGATTGCATCACTTACAGTATCCTCTATAGGAGTATTGGTGTCAACTCTGTGCTGGTAGTAGAGATCAATATAGTCCACATCCAGGCGCTTCAGGATAGCCTCTATTGCAGAACGGACAAATTCGGGAGTACCGTTTATTATTGTACCGGTTAAACCAATTTTTTCATAACCAAACTTTGTGGCTAACTGTACCATCTCTCTTGGTATTTGCTTCAATGCCTGGAAAAAAGGATATTTGTTTCAGAGATAAATGAATTCCTTTAACAAGAAAATAACTATAATAAAAGCATAAAATCACATCAGTGTCAAAAGCAAAACAGGAAGCAGTTGCAATTGAGCTTGGAAATATAAAGAGTTTGTCCAAGCATGTTTGTTTACCTTTCCAAGCAAAATTTCATTAGTTTTGGGTCCATAAGCATCTGATGTATCAAAGAAAGTGACTCCTCGATCGAATGCGTGCTTGATAATCGATATGCCAACATCTTCAGGGACAGGGTCATGGTAACCTCCATTAAGCCCCATACAGCCAAACCCCAACTTTGAAACCTATCAAAGAAAATCATGCATCTTAATCCAAAATTCTACAGTTCAAGGCCCATATGCAACTCAGAAACAGCTTTTCACTTAACTACTGTAAGAAAAACAAAATCTAACCTCAAGTCCTTGAGTTCCCAGTTTCACTCTAGGAATGTCAACACTCTGCTGCTCCTCAGCCATCTTTTGATCCTTTTTTGCTCTTCTTTGTTAATGACCCGAGGCTTTTCTTGTTAGAGTACAGAACAAAAAAAAGTAAGTATAAACGATTAGCAGGCGGATATTACAAGTGTTTGTTGAACTGTCAACTTGGTGACACCACTATATGTCATCCTGATGTGATCCAATTCAGCATCAAAAATGAACTTGCATCTCCAAACTTTCTCAAAAAATCAAAGGGAGATTTTCTTTAACTTAATCTTTCTTTATACCATAGTTATGATAATAACTTACATACATTATATTTATAGTTATGATGATGATATTATGAATGTATGAAGTTATTACTATGAACCACATATTTACATGATTATCTTATTATTATATGCTTTCTTTTGTAGGTACATGTTCAGCCACATCATTGGAGCTGATTTAAAAGCTAGCATTGGAGTCATTGAGCTAAGGAAACTTGACTAGGACAACTCTGGGACAGCTCAAGGACATTTTGAGACAAAGTTGTCAGCTGACCTCTGAGCTCATAGCTCAGTTGAGCTGGACTTTTGAGCTAGCTAGAGACCTCTTTTCAGCTGGAGAGTTGCACCATCATCTTCACCACACAGAGCACTACAAATATGGTCTAGGTCGAATTTTGTCGCGAAGAGTTACCAAGCCGAGAAGTGACCTTTCACAAGGAGCTGTCCTAAGACTCACCTTCATGTATTTCATCTATGGCCAGCTCATCTTCAACTCAAACACATGGGAAGTAGCTCAAAATGATGAAAGGATGCTTCACACAAATGTGCCCTTTCATAATTAGTTGTTGCCCCATTGATGCCATGTCACTAAAATACAAGATGGAAGTCAAGTCACACCTAGTTGCTGCTCAACTTCACGCCAAGGAGAATCCACACCATAAGCATCCTATGCCGCCCATGTGAGTGTCTCATGACCAGCCCACACATGTGCTATGCATGTGGATGAAATAGGCACCAAAATGAAGAGGGTTATCTCCATTCGGCCAAATCATCATCTTGCTTCAAGTTGGCGCCAAGATGAAGAGACAAGGGAACCATTCGGCCAAAGACATCTCCCCTCATCCAAGCATCATCTATTTTCGTTTTAAGACATGTATCTAGCCGAATAGACACCTAATTATTCGGCCAAACTTATGCAAGCCTATAAATAGGCTTTGGCATTTCATTTGTAACTCAACCCTTTGGTAATATAAAAACTCTTTGTGAGATTATTCTCTCTTCAAGTTCTTTTTAGAACTATATCGATTAAGCAAGCTTTCATAGTTTGTGGCGTCAAACCCCTTTCCTTGATACTTCTGGTTCCTAGTTTCTATAACTAGTGGGTCAAAGTCCTTTCATACCATCCCTAATAAGACTTATAAGAAATGGGTCTTTGCTCCTTTATAGCATTGGTTTCTTCTTAGTTTTATAAGATACTACCTAAACATCACCATCTTCTATCACCATTTTTACGCCTATAACATCACCATCTTCCATTACCATTGCACGCCTATATCCTTACCATCTTCTATCACCATTTCACGCCTATATAACCACCAATCTCTACCATCTATTCATCATTCAATCATCATCAAGGCATTCGTCCATCAACATTATCTGGAGGCCGAATTCATCAATTCTTGAAGGATTCTTCTACAATACTTCTGCAGCCATCTTTGATAACATTTCTTTCCATTTCAATTCTTTCCATTTCCATTTCATTTCTTTAATTATCAAATTACTTAATCAATTATTCTTCTTTTGTGTAGATTACTTTCAATTCAAAGTGTAGCATTTGGTGTCTCTCCTAGATCGGGAAACAACAAGGTTGCCAATTTCTCCATTATTGAAGAAGCTTGGTTAGCCTTACATCACATCCTTCTTATTATGTCACCCTTAGGTAATCCATATTTAATTGTTTGTTGAAGGAACGTTGAAAATCATACAATCATGCTT